AATTATTCGGACGCTAAGTTGTGTCAACTAATTCAAGGGGAGATACCCCAACTCATACATTTATGCTTAATCAATCAGTGGAAATACTCGATTTTGAGGCAGTCCGGCACGCCATTGTACTTTCGCAACCGCGGTTCTGTGGTGCTTGCGTTCGAATAAAGTTCAGGCCAGGCGGCTAACTAAACTTTTGCAAATTCCGATGAATTTAAGCAATTTTAGTTCATGTTTTTGTTGTTGTTTTTGTTTTTGTTGTTATATACGAAATTATTTAGTAATCAAAATGTCATGCTGAAATCAATTTGTGTTAAATTAAGCGGTTGCTTTCATATAAGCAAGGAAAAGTTAATGTGTTTTAATTAAATTTAATTTTGTTTTAATTAAAAAAGGCTAACCACATTAATGTATGCCGTAAAAAAGGTAATGTCCGCATGTTTTTTAACTATTTTTGATTAATAATCGATAAATGACAATGATTTCATAATTCGATAGACGAATAATTTAAAATTATTCGTATGTGATGTAAAAATGGGACATACGTTATAAAAACTTACTCATTGTGACATATAAAAATTTTGAAAAACGTCTTCAAGCAAATATAAATTCAGTAAAATGATAAATTATGTAGTTGAAATGATTAATAATATTTAGAAATTGAGTGTAGAAGAAGTTATCGATAAAGATCAAATTAAAATCAATCAATATAGACTAATCATTCTGTTCAATATATTAATTGTTTTAGATCATTATGTGCTGATATATATACTATAAAAATAGAAATATATTTATATTTATTATAATACAGTCAAACTTCCATACCTCCAAATTCTATAACTCGAATTTTCTATAACTCAAACTAAAAGTGCACCAGGGTTTAGACAACAAATTACATACAATAACAAAAAAATTCTTTAACTCAAAGTTTCCATAATTTGAACCTTTTCTTTGCAAAATGCTGCTACGAGTTATTTTGGAGTTGGACTGTATATATATAAAATATATTATTATAATATATTAAAATATATATAAAGTATATATAATATAGATATAATTATATTATTAAATTATTATATTATCATTTTAATATTGATTAAATCAGTTACTTTTGATATTAATAAAAATAATACATAATAAAAATAGTTAAATATATTTAAAATGATCATTTATTGATCTATGTATTAATAGGTTTATTTTTTACTATCTATTTAATAAAATAAAAATATAGAATGATGTAAAGAAATGACCTTATATACTGACCCATTGAATTCAGTCATAAAATTAAAAATTATATATTATAAGTTTATATTTAAATCATTTCATAAGACTCATAAATTGTGTGTCCCGATCAACTAAAAATACAAAATCTGGGAGGAGCAATAAAAAAGGGACAATAGAAACAATTTAATGCAAACTTATTTGCAAACCATTGCAAATGTTCTGACTTAGCAAGACTGAAATATTCTTATATGGAAGCCTACGAACTAGTGAGCCGGATGATTATTTCAAATATAGATCTATCAAAAGTAATCTGTTTTATAGCGCTCGTTGAATTGAAAAGTTAAAATTTCATATTCTGATACAAGATGATTTTTATTTAAAATAAATATTTCTGCCACATAAAAATATATATAATAACAGAATTTAGTTTGTAGATAAATTGCCAATAAATTTTCTCTGGGATTAGCTGAATTTTGTATATGAGGTGTAAGAATATTATCTTACACCTCACACACATTTTAATTTATTTTTGCACCCACTCATATAGTCTAAATGTATTTCCTAAAACAAAATGATTTTATTTTTTTTTTAAATATTATTTAAAAAATATAATATTACATTTTATATATAGATTTGAATCAAAACTGTTTATAGACTA